CCCCCACCCCCGCCTTGCTCTAGTCCGGAAGGGCCCTGACCAGCGGGGGGCGGTGTCTGGGGAGGTCCACCCACCACCCCCCCTCTCTGTCACTTCCTTTCTCCCTTGCTCACAGTTTTGGCCCTTGGATCTCCAGTCCGTTATCTCCCGCCAGCCCCAGCTGTGTGTGTTTTCCTCTCTCTATCCTCTTCAGCCGTCTGGCCCCTTTGCCCGTCCGCCCCATCCCTAACCAAATTAGTTTCAAAACGGTTGCTCGCGCAAGCAGACCCACGGAAAGGAGCACAAACACCCCGCGCACATGGAGGAGACAGCTACTGGCAGACACACGGACGCACACAGACCCCCTATTCCAGGCCCTTTAGCTTGACCACTTGGGTGGGCACAGAACACATTTCCGCCCTTTTGCCCACCCGCTCAAACCTCTGTCCTGATCTCAGGCTCCCAGGGCTGCCGACAAATCCCCAGCACAGAGGCAGAGAGCCAAGGACCGGGGCTGAACTGTTTTCCAGAACCCATCTCACCCCACCCCCCACTCCCGTGGGGTGCCCTTGCCTTTTCACCCCCAAGGACCCCTTTGATTACTTCCTGCCTCACCCCCAGCCCAGGTTCTGAAAGATTGTACTCGCCAGACTGCATTATTAAGTATTCATTCATTGCTCCATTTTTTATTAATCAAAGACATATATAATTGCCCATTGGAGCTTGTGATCAGCATGAGAAAGGCAGCTGAGCCAGCTGTGGGGCTATCATTCCGGCCCAGAGCAAGTGGGCTGACAGCTTCCTTGACCTGTGTGGCCGTTTCCCCAGTAAAAGCTGTATTTGCCGGGAGAGCATCTTGCGTATTCCATGCAGTCTGCAGACCCCCACGCCCAGCCTTCTGGATTCCCCCTGAGGCCAGGGACTTGAGCTATTCCAAGCCCACACTTCTTTTTGATGACACAGAAATAAGAGATTAGAAGAGCGGACGGCCCGGACCAGAGAGTATTTTCCAGATCTCCACCAAAGCACAAAGAATAAAGAAAGTGTGCCCACCAAAGTGACTGCCTGCATGGGTCAGGGGCACTCACCCCAGGTCCTATACCCAGATACTCACCACAGCGCCGGGGAAGCTCTTGGCTGCCCTACCTGGAAGGTGAGGACCGCACTACCTTAATTACAATATTTGTCACCAAAGAAATATGAGATAAGTTTATGAAATCCTTGCAGGTATGGTAGGCCATCGCCAGACTGCAGATGGCACTGGGTTCTCCAGTTTCCAGATACGTAAACGGCCAGAGAAGCAGCTTTGAGGGGTCTTCGAAGGAATTTGACCAAGGTCGGGTCACCCTACAAAGTCTCAGTGTCTGCCCGACCCCCAAACCTGTGCTCGTAACCCTCCCAGTCTTAACATCGGATATTCGGACATTAGAGAAAACAAATCTTGTCTTAAAAAATTCATTGATGGAAACAACCATAAGGAAATCTAGCCGCCCGGGGACAAACAGGCCTTAAGATGTCAGATTTTTCTATCTTACTGCAAGACACAAAGACACTGAAATTAATTCAAGCCCTCTCTCCTGCTCTGGCTTACATTTTGGTCTCCTGAGGACCTGGGGGGATCAGTGAGTGTGGGAATAGCAAGGGAGGAAGAGAAAAAAGTCAAAGCAAAGAGAGATTTTAAAATGTAAATCTGCAGAAGCAGGTCCGAAAGGGCCAGCTCATGGGCTGTCTATGCATCCAGGACTGGAGCTCGGGACTTGGCACAGGTCACTGGGGCTTCGTCCTCCTTATCGTGTTATCTCGGGGGGGGGGGGGGGGGGGGGGGGGGGGGGGGGGGGAGGGGCTCCCCGTGTCCCCACCCTACACTGCCTCAATGTCTGCAGGAGGCACTGCCTCTAGTCATGCGACAGACTTGCTGAAATTGTTGGGACAGAATATTAGAATGTTCTCTGAAGCGTTCCCATTTTATCTGGTTCGAGTTCCAGCAGCTAGCTGAGGCAGACGCCATTCCCATCACTCGCTGCCTCGCTCCGATGAGGATTGATGTGTAACATCAGAGAGAGGACTGATTATAACAAGGTCTGACGGGGCGCCCGACGTCTTCATTCCTTTGCTCTTTACTTCCTTCCTTCCCCTTCACCCTGCGTCTCTTTTTATTGATTGATTCCCTCAACCAATAGGCAGGGTGCACTAGGCTTCGTGGCCGGGCTGGGATTCAGAGAGAAGAGATTCAGCGCCTTCCCATAAGGAACTCATTCTTTAGTTAGGGAGTCAGACCATGAAACCCAGGCAGAAGCCAGCCCAGCACATCCAAAGGCGTGGAGCCTTGACAGAGGGAGAACATTCAGGAACGAGCTAGAGCAGACACTGGCCATGGTAGTGGCTCAAAGCCGGAGCGGCCAGCTAAGTGAAGGCATTTGGACTTGGGCCCATGTCAGTCACGTCCTATTGATCCTACCCCTTAATACACCTCCTGTCCATCCTTGACCGCTGTCCTGCTCAGACGCTCATCATCTCTCACCCGGACGTTACCTCCTTCCAGACCCACACCGTTCCGCTGCAGGAGTTGATTTCCACGGTCCCCAGTTGGTGACACTACTTAACTGCTCAAAACCGCTCAGAGGCTAGAGTTCCAGTCAGCCGACTGGTGAGGGCCAGTCCAGGCCCTGGGACACCAGCCATGGGACATTACTGCATCGGAGGGAAGAGGAAAGCACTGAACTGGATCTCTTGCCTCCCATGCAAGTACCGGTGCTGGGGGGCTTTTCCCTCCCATGATCATGTCTGGATATCCAGGGTCCACCCTGTGGATGTTTTTGTCGCAAGGGGGTGTGTGTATTTAGATCGGGGAAGAATGGTTTGGCAAACAAGGCAGTTCGGATGAGGTGCACCAAGCATCCTGGGTGGGTCACAAGCAAGTGGCCGGTCTTCAGCAGGGCCACCTTCCAGTGCAGGCCCCCTACCCCTTGCCCCCCAACCCCCCCCCCCACTCCTTACCCTACCTCCACCCCAGCACTGAGCTGTTTCCTCAAACCTCCTCCAGATAACCTCAGCCAGGACCCGCCATCCACACCCTGTCGTCACTTTCCGGGCAAGGTGAACCCACTCTTTCCTGCCCCTCGTCCCCTCCTAAGTTTTGATGTGTGGAGACACCGCGAGCCATTCGTGAGCCATTCGTATAAAGGGCTTTGCTTTCTGATCGGCCAAACGATCAAACAAACAAAACAAAACACAAACTTCTTTGTCCTTTCAGGATCCGGTCTCCTGTAAATCAAAATGTTTGGTTTTCCCGGCTGGGGTCTTGAATGTGGTCTCGAGAGCTTATTTTGGAAGTCAAAAGATAAGCAAACATTTTCTCTTTCATTTCAACTGAGGAGAAGATGCGAATCATCTTGAGGCAATATCAAAACAAAGCCAAATTCCCACACTGATATTGGGCCACTTAGAGATCTTACTGATTCCCTCTGAGTTCAGTTTCCTCGTGTATGAAATTGGAAGCAGGCTGTTGGACGGATTCAAGATAACGTAAGGAAATCACCCAACTCATACCCTAGCTAACAAATAGCAACTAGGGGCACCTGGCTGGCTCGGTTGGATGACCACACGACGCTTGATTTCAAGGTCATGAGTTCAAGCCTCACGTTGGGTGTAGAGATTACTTAAAATAAACAAATAAAACGTGATGAATAGCAGCTATTGTTGTCACCAAAAATGATTTAATTACTGAAGAGCAAAGAGGAAATCATGAAATCATTTTGAGGAGGATTGCAAAGTGCTCCTAACCTAAAAGAGAAATAAATAAGGAAGAAAAAAAAAAAACCCAAAATACTGTATAATGGGTGAGTTTGGCCATTTGTCCCAGAAGCCCTACCCCAGAGAACTGATCTCTAGGCGGCGTCCAGATAAATGCACATCAGTGTCAGCCGGGTGTCCTGCCCCGCT